TACCACAGTCTGTAACCTGTGGAAGGCACAGACCCAGTGACAGTGTGGGTCCTGCCAGTCCGACTAAAAAGGCAGGGGCCAGGAGTGCACTTCAAACTCCCATATAGAAAAATGGAGCTTAGGAAAGTAATAATAATAAAAAGGACATCTTAGCTGGGCATGGTGGTGCACGCCTGTAATCACAGCACTTGGGGAGGTGGGGCAGGATTATTGCACGTTTGACTCCTACAACTTAGTGAGAGCCTGTCTCAAAATAAAAAGGGCTGGGGATGTAGCTCACTATAAAGGCCCTGGGTTCAATCCCCCTTACCACAAAAGAAGTAGGAAAATGGAGCCTTACTTATATGTAAATAGTGATTAAAGACCTACCTATATAATTATAGAGTTTGAGGCAAATCCATGTGCATTAGTTTCCCATTCCTGCTGTGACAACACAGTATGCCACAGACTCAATGGCCTAAAATAACAGTGTCTTACAGTCTTGGAGGTCAGAAGCCTGAAATGGGAGGCTGAGGCAGAAGAATTGCCACGAGTTTGAGGCCAGCCTGATCTATGTAGCAACACCCTGTTTTAAAATGGATTTTATGGGGCTGCTCTCATAGAGGCACAGGGCTGCCTTCTAAAAGGAGAGCTCATTTCCATTTCCTTGGCTTCTCCCACCGCCCCAGGCTGCCCACATTCCTTGGCTTGTGGTCCCTCAGCAGCAACAATTGCAGTCATGCCCTTGCCCTGTTGTCACATCCACATCGTCTCTTCTGACTCTTTGTAGGACACTTGTGATTATACTGGGTCCACTGAAAAGCTCAGGACAAACACTGCATCTCATCTTACATCCGCAAAGTCCCTCTCGCTGTAGAAGGAAACACATCCACAAGTTCCAGAGCCTGGGATATGAACACTTTTGGGGGACACTGTTCTGCCTACCACACCATGGGACTTCAGAAACACCATCCCGAAAACAGCACGCAACTTGAGTCAGTCCCTCTGTTTGACACTTAGCCGTGACAGAAAGTTTTCTCTCTGCTCACAGGACAGAGAGAGCTTCTCTTCGAGACCTCCGCAAAGTGCCTCATCCCCTGCAATCAAAAGTCCAACTCCTAGAGATACACTGTCTATGCCCTGCGTGTTCCCGAGGGGTTTGGCCGTGTGCCACATGGTAACATTTCAATCAACGACAGGTCACACACTCCACTAAGACCACCAGCAGATCCTAGGCCTGTGGAAGGCTATGCCATTTTGCATTGTGTAGGTTCGTTCTGTGATATTTGTACAACCACGCCTCACCTAACACACTCCTCAGAACTTATCTCTGATATCAAATGGCCCATGACCATATTGATTTTTAGGTAATAAAACATTAGAGATTTAACTAAGTGGTTCAAAATCTGAAACAAGCTTTGTATAAACAGGGAGATATTCACGCTAATGGAGAAACTTTATTAAGTAGTGGGGATCAGTGGAGTATTGTTTTGTTCTTGCTTTACCTGTCTGCACCACACCACCAAGTCAGTCATCATAGAAATGTATATCATATGCTTATTTTATTAAATTATTTACACAAAAGAAAGTCAAACTCTTTGCTAGACGTAGAATAGCAACAAGAACTGGCATTTCTTTGGTGATTTCTCTAATGGGCTGGATTTTAGGCTTGGCTCTGATCTATCCATAAACCCAGGTGATTTAAGAGTGACTCTAACATCGGACCACTCAAATATGCTGGTTAGTTTTGCTACCCGGATACCAACTATAAACACAATCTCAGAATCTTGTCCTGCTTGCAATTTGAGTTCAAGCTCAAGTCTCCCTATGAACAGCACTCTACACTTGGCCTTTTTAAGATAGCAACACAGGGACATGCAGATAAGAACCGCTGACTACTACAGCCAGCCAGCCAGCTACCCATAGCTCAGGAGTCTACAGAAAAGCTTCCAACCTCTGCCCCGCAATAATCAAAGCTGTTCTTCGGAAAGTGCCCCTGTGCCCTGAATGTACCACATCTGACTTCCACTTTGGGAATTTCCTTTCCCCTAACTTAGTTCCCGGTGTGATGATCATTAAGATAAAGTCTAAACTCCCTGAATGTTTTGGTGTCTTTTCTGTAAGCCTATTTATGTTTGAAGTAAATATTATTTAGCAAACAACTAGTGCCAGAAAATATTTAACAACAACAACAACAAAAATCTACCTACTACTCTAGAGAGAGGAAGTCTTTCCCCGTGAAACAGAATTCTGAAGAACTCTGGAACAGAATAGCTGTGAGGAAACTCCAGACGGCTCTGGGGTCTGGGTCTCCTCTGTTCTGCATGTGCTGTTCCTAAAAGCAGCCACTTTCCACAAGAGAGGCCTAATCAGTGAGAAAAGCACTTTGCTGGTGCTGAGGAATCTCCATCCAGAACTTGAGCAGCAGGAAGAATTGGACATTGGGGTTCTGTGAGACCAGGACCAGGAGAGTGTATTTTTCCCTTCTTAGAGCCAGGTCTAAGATAGCATCTAAAATGCCCTTAAGTGGGCAAAAATGCCATCCGGTGTGAGGCCCCAGGCCATGCTGAGCTGGAGAAGTGGAAACAGCCAGCGTGACAGGAATAGGAAGGGACACTCCTGGCTGGGGATGAGTGACTGCGGGCCTGGAGGCCACATGGGGCCGGACCGGGTGAGAAGGGAGCCCCTCAGGCAGGGCTGCGGTTTCCTTTACACATAGTGAAAATACATGTGGCAAATCTGAGAGGAAGGCCCGGATGGGGAACGGTGTAAGAGACAGAGGCAGGATCCAGGGTAGAGACTTCAGCCGTGTCTGCCCCTGGGTTTGCTTTCTGCTCTGGACGGCTGGTCTCTCTGTGCTTGGAGCCAGGGAAGCATGGAACTTCACTACAAGGCTCCATCAGGCAGCAGGACGGCACGGCACAGCCTGCATGTGCTTCTCAGAGTGTGGTCCCTGGGCCTGCAGCATCCATCTCACCTTGCAATTTGTAGAAATGTAAATCATCAGAAGCAGCCCAAATCAGTCTTCAATACAAGCCATGGTGGCTGGCACTGGTTTCCAATTGAGCTGCTTTCTGAATTGGCAGCTCCACTGCGGTGTAGGACACAAGGGTCGCTGTAGGGATTTGAGGATTAGTTGCTAATTCTCCAGTGCAGTGGTTTTCAAAGCAAGCTGCCTGGGCCAGTGACAGCCACAATCGGGCACTTGTCGGAGTGCAAAGTCGAATGTCCACGGCAGACCTCAGAGTCAGCAGCACCGGGGCGGGGCCAGCAGTCTGCTCACAAGCTTCGGGTGACTCTGAGGCACACCCGAGTTTCAGACCCCTGACTGTACCCTGATCCCTCATAGAGGCGGGGCATGCTCCAGGAGCACTGGCAGCCATGGGCAGTAAGATGAACTTGAGGTGGGCTGGAGGTGGCAGTGGATCCCCCTGGAAAGGTGCACAGAGGGGACCGGACTGGCAGTGATAAACACGGGGCAGGGTATGGGTGTAGTGAGCAGGGCAAGGAGGTGCAAAGACTAAGGACAAGGACCACTGTCACCTCTTGTCAAAATTCAGGGGAGGGAGACAGAAGCGCGGTGTCTTCTGCTTCTTCAGAGGCGGTGGAGCTGCAGGTGCTACCCGGATGTAGGTGGTAGAGTCCGCCGGCCTTGGTGTGCACCCAGCCACTTGTACTCATCTTTCCTTCTTGCTCTTCTGCTTCATTCTGCTAACAATAGCCCCTACTAGTGGTGGGTATTGTCATTGAGGTTGGGACCCGAGAGGTTGGTATGACGGACAGCCCAGGATTCCTCCCTTTGAGGGGCAGCCTGGGATGGAGGAAGAATAAGAACTACCCGCTATTCCACTATGGTGCCCAGGGAGAGTATCGGTGGCAAGACTAAAGCGTGCACACCATGTTTATGCCGGCCCAACTCATAGCCGCTAAGTTCTGGAAGAAGCCCGTATGTCCGTCAGCAGATGGATGGGTAAAGAAAGTGTAGGATTTGTATATAATGAAGTACTACTCTGCCATAAAGGAGGCTGCACCTTGAGAGCATAATATAAATGGAATAAACCAGACACGCAAGCTTACATATCACGTGTTTTCTCGTATGAGAAACCCAAAGTGTAAATAGCAAAACAAAAGACAGATATCAGGGAGCAGGGAGATAGACCTTTTGCAAGTGGAAAGAGGACCAAGAAATGGAGAGAGGTGAGGGAAAAGGGTGTAAAAAGAATTGGGGCTGGGGATTTAGCTCAGTGGCACTGCGCCTGCCGCGCAAGCGCAAGGTCCCGAGTTCAGTCCCCGGTACCGGAAAAAAAAAAAAAAGAATTAAGATGTGTCATGTGCATGCACCAATTCCCCATGACAAATGTGATCGTTATGTGCTTCAAATGTGTACTGATAAAAATTTAAGAAAAAACTAAAGCATGAGTTAGGAAGGGACGTGTTAAAAGTTGGGGAGCAACCTGGCTATAGTATTGCTGCCTCATGCTTTAAGGACTTTTGTGGAGGGCAGGCGTGTTCAGTGAGTGAACAGGTGGCTATCGCTGGAGTCCCTTGCGCGTGGAGAGTGTGCTGGAAGGAAGGCAGTGCCCCAGGTATCAGGAAATGGTGCCCAAATCCTCAGTGCATGAGGCGCCCACAAGCATTTTGTGTCTCAATTATTTGACACCCACAAAACCCCAGTGACCTGTGAGGTAGTGAAGAACACACTGAGATGTTTGGCTTTTATCCTAATGCATGCAGTCTTTGAGATGTGCTAAGAAGGAAATGGCTGGGGCGTGATTCGCTGAGCATGGTTCTCATTTCTGACCGCACACAAGAATGGCCTGAGGAACTTCCTAAAGGAAACAGCAGAGGCCAGGCCCCGATCCAGATGAGCAGTGCAGGTCTCGGGCTCGGATCTCAGAGAGGGCTGGGGCTTTGTGGTGACAACACTTCCGCTGCCACAGGAAATTGGGGATCCGAGTTTAGATGCACCAAAAAGGTTGTGATGACCTGACTCTAATATTGGCATTTTGTTTTTCTTTTAGGAATGTCCAAGTCACGGGTGAGTGTCCTTTCTCCTTCTCCACTTAGCTTCATTTTGTGAACTGCACAATCTGTTTTACTCCTGGATGTTCACAGCTGCACCTCGTCCACTTACCAAACGGGGATTGTGTATCTTGCATCAGTGAGGGGCTGATCCTGTATCTGTGTGAGAGATCCTCTCTTTAGGAAATGCTGCATATTTCCTGCTCAAACTAATGCTGAACCTAGTTGCTCTATTTCACTGCTGTCTCTATACAGACGAGTAATGTAAGGGAGTAAAGATTCTAACTTGAGACTGCTTCTGGCTGGTCACTGGTGAGTTGCTCAATGCGCCTTGCTGCTTTTCACGCCACTCACACTACTTGCGAGTGTGGGCTGGAGAGGAGTGGATTCCACACTCTCGTGTTTTTCTTTCCTCCAGACTTGCTTTGGTTATCCGCTGAGCATCTTCTTTATCGTGGTCAATGAGTTCTGTGAAAGGTTCTCCTACTATGGCATGAGAGGTAACTATTAGCTGCTTGTCACCCCTGGGTGAAGAGCGCCAATGGCCACAGCCTGTCCTAACTCTGTTCCCTTCCTCCTCCTCCTCCCCTCTGCTGGAAGCACTGCTGGTTCTGTACTTCCGAAACTTCATCGGCTGGAACGATGATCTGTCCACTGCCATCTACCATACTTTCGTCGCCCTCTGCTACCTGATGCCAATCCTTGGAGCTCTTATTGCTGACTCGTGGCTGGGGAAGTTCAAGTGAGTTGTGGGGACTTTCTTGTTAACAAGCCAGAATGTAAATGTAGATTTTGAGGTGGATGATCGGGTCAGAGGATGAAGAATCAAGGACATAAGCTCTTAGGAGAGTATTTGGGGTCTGTTTCTGTTCAGCATCGTACCCCAGAGAGCCTAACACAGTGCCTGGCATTTAGCAATGTTCATGCAATTACATAACATCTTGTCTTGAAGTAGTAGCAGGGACCCTATTGATCATGATATAGAAGCTGGGAAAATAAAGACTTTGCCCTACGGACATCTTAGCTGCTGAGAGCTCACACTGGGAAGGTGGAGCCTTTTCCAGGACCCAGGAATGACATAGGTAGGGCAAGGGTCTTCACTGTCTCCAAAGAAGTCTGTAGAAATAACCAGTGGTCACTCCTGGCCAACTGCCATTACTAGCTACAAGACTGGTAACTTTCTGTTTAAATCTACGAACACTCATTTCTGTACTTATGAAAAAAATTGAGTCTTTCAAAAACTTGAAAGATAAAATGGATCTTCCCCATCTCCTTATCCTCTGTCCAAAGCTTTGCTCTATGCCTATATGTCATGCCTTTCTGACCCTTACCAGTTTTATCCAAGTTCAGGAAACAAGTGCATTCAGGATTGGGCTCTTATAAGTTTTGAAGGACAGGCATAGAAAATGGACAGTTACTGCGATTTTAACCAAGTTTCCCTTCACCCTTTCAAACACAGGACAATTATATGGCTCTCCATCATCTACACCATTGGACAAGGACTCATCTCAATAAGCTCAATTAATGACCTCACAGACCACAACCACGATGGAACCCCAGACAGCATACCCACGCACGTGTGAGTTGGTTCCCTCAGGTGTCTGGTATTCTCATATCTCATCTTGCTCCTCAAATGTCTCTGGAGCAGAGAGAGGCATGTCCTTACCCAGCAGCAGTGTAGAGGAGGCTGCTTAGTGATAGAATTGTGTCTTCTGCATGGTGTGTAGTCAGTGGGAGGGCATCCGTGTTCTCCTTGGTTTTCCCTAGGAGCAGTAGCTTCCACAGATCTCTGACCTTAACACCATGAAGTCTCCCCAAGACTCTGAGACCTTTGGTTTTTCCTCATGTACCGCTCATCTGCTCATGTTTCAGGGACTGGGTGTCATAAACATTGACCCAGCCGTCTGTTTGGGGCTCTTGGTAGTGAGTGGTACAGGCAAGTGCTCCTCTGCTGGGTTCCTTTCCTTCCCTGGAGCCTGGCCTCACACCTGTTATGAAGATTGGTCTTGACTCCTTTTATTGTGATTCAACTCACTGATCCCTGAGCAAGCCATGCCATGGGCTTGGTAATATGTTTGAAACTCGACTCGGTACCCACAGTGCCCACGTCTCTGGCCCACCAGTCCACTGGGCGTCTGTCCAGACCAGGGCCCCAACACTTTGCTCTTGATCGCTAAAGGGAACAATGTTGATGAGGGGAACAGCAATGAGACAGTGGACAGCTCAGATGCCAAGGTCTGAACCCAAGGGATGACCTTGGGAAAACTGGCTTCTTAAGAACATGGACTTTGCTGGGTGTAATGGCACTGTCTGTAATTGCAGCACTCTGGGAGGCTGAGGCAGGAGGACTGCAAGTTCAAGAGTAACTTAGCAAGACTATCTCAAAATCTAAATAAGTAAATAACTGACCGTGAACTTGGAGATGGCAGTGCCTTCTAGCAGGTGTGTGATCTGGGGCAACTCTTACTCCCTTTGCCTCAGTTTCTTTACTTGTAGTGGTCCCACCTCAGCTGGGACTGCTGTGGGCTAATCCAGGAGAACACCCAGAAGGCTACCTGGTAATTGACAGGCACTCAAGAAATATTGGCAACCTATCTTTCCTTTTGTGGAGTTGGTGTGGGACCATGCCTGAAATCCTCACAGGAGTAAATGGGATGGAAAGTTCAATCAGGTTTTTGTTGACTTTGTAATGCTGAGAGTGACCACTTCAGACATGAGATGAGGAGCTTAGGCCAATTGAGTCAGAAAGATCGACCCAGGAAATATGACTTCTAAAGAGTCCTTTCTATGTACAATATCTGCCTTGACTTTATCTGTTTCATGGTTTCTTTTCAATTTTTTGGTTTGGTTTGGTTTGGTTTGTACTGGCAGTTGAACCCAGGACCTTCTCACTGAGATACATCCCCAGCTCTTCTATTTTTTATTTTGAAACAAGGTCTCACTAAGTTGCCCAGGCTGGGCTCAAACTTGCCATCCTCCTGCATCAGTTTCTCGCCATGCCCAGCTTTAGTATTTTTAAGAAAGATTAGCAATCAAGAAGATATAGGATAGGTATTTGTAAAAACCTGAGATTTCTAGTACCCAACTGTAAGTTTAGTAAAACTACAAATGACAGTTGATAAATGCTATAATTTTTTTCAATTCAGGATATAAAACACAGATAACCTGGAAAATACAAAAACAAATTAAGATAAATCACCCTTAGTCCTATCACCTGGATATAATAATAAATCTTTTGTTTCTTTTCAATCTTCTGTACTTTGTAAACAAATTTAAGACCATACTCCATAACCTGATATTCTACTCTGGAATGAAATCATATTTTCCACGGTCATTTAATGAGTGTCATGAGTCTATTTTGATTGCATAACACAATGTTTACATGTGGTCACTAATGTTTTGGGTGTATGTATGTGTGTGCGCATGCCTGTGTGTGCGTGTGTGTGTGTTGGAGACTGAACCTAGGGCCTTATGCATGCTAAACACACACTGAGCTACAGCCCCAGCCCTTAGTTGCCATTTCATTTACACATTCTTTTCCTGGAAATGATCAGGCAACAGAAGAACTCCAGTCTTGCAGGGATTTGGCTCAGTGGAGCCACGCCTGCCTCACAAGCACAAGGTCCTGAGTTCGATCCCCAGTACCAAAAATAACCCCCTAAAACCTCTCGTCTTTGCTCATATATCAAGCTGTTCAGATTTCTGGGTGATAGAAAGGAGACGGTAGACAGGGTAAGAACGCGAAAGCTCCCAAGTTCAACTTTTCATTTAGCGCTCAGACTGCATTCCTACGAATTATCTTCTCATCAAGTTGGCATCCCTTCTCCGTGTTTACACCTGTCCCTTGTCCTCTGAGAAACATCAGAGGAAGGCTTCTGCAACTGAGGACCTACCCGCCACCTTGTCCCTAACCTGCTCCTTTCCCTAGGGCGCTGTCGATGATCGGCCTGGTCCTGATCGCTCTCGGCACGGGAGGAATCAAGCCCTGTGTGTCCGCGTTTGGTGGTGATCAGTTTGAGGAGGGCCAGGTACAAGCATGTTCCCCCACAGGAAACACCTCCAGGAATCCAGCTCCACAGACACTGAGTCTGTTCTCCATTGAGTTTGAGCGCTCCTAAAAGTGAAACCCTGACCAGCGCTAAGGCCCAAGTGAAGTCAGGTGTCAGGGCCACCTGCTTGGATGACACATAGCCCAAGTCATCATACTCTAACTTTATCCTTTCCATTACAGGAAAAGCAAAGAAACAGATTTTTTTCCATCTTTTATTTGGCCATCAATGCTGGAAGCTTGCTTTCTACCATCATCACTCCCATCCTCAGAGGTAAGAAATATCTGAAAGGCACTTCTGTTTCCTCTTTTTGAGTTGTGAAGAAGGTGGTCAGGTAAAGAGGCTAAGTCATTATCTTGGAGCTTTGTTTCGTTCCCCTCTGACAGTTCAGCTGTCGTGCCCTGTGGTGAACATCAACAGCCTGAATATGAGCTGCTTTTCCTCCGAGTCTTACTTCAGAGTCCCCATCTAATCTTACCTGAATCCTTGGTTCCATTCACCACTGAGAGTTTAAATCATCCCTCACACATGCATCAATTTTTCAGATTTTCCATTAATGCAGACTCCTTGTTCAGGGAGAGAAATAAGAGTCCAAAAGGGTGCTTCGGAACAAGGCCTAGTGGGCTGTGATTGACATTTCAGCCTTAAAGCTCTGCAACCCACTGATGTTTGAGTGGGCAGAAGAAGTTAGTGGGCAAGGTTTTGTTCTTTGCTTTCCTCACATCTCATGTATTTCTGAAAGAACCAGCCAGAGCAAGAGAATGAGACAGTAAGTATAGATAACTGTCAACAACACTCAGGTCTTTGCACCCTCCATTGGGAGTTTGTGAATTTCCTACCATATTTCCCTGAAAATAAGACTGAGTCCTATATTAAGTTTTGCTCCAAAAGATGCAATGAGGCTTATTTTCAGGGGATGTCTTATTTTTTGATGTACATCAGTCTACACTTATTCATGTACAAAATCTACATTTATCCAATAGAATCATTCGTCTTCATCTCAAACATTGTCATAACTCTAACCCTTCCGAATTCTAGCCTGAATTTCTTGCAACTCTATTAACTGTAGAACCATTGGCCCCAGTCTCTCATGGCCAGCAATAGAGGTTTCCTTAAATGAGCACTTCTTGTCCACGTAGCCTGCTCATAGTGCACTGGCAACACAGCTGTCAGTGATTTGATCCCATGCATTCGTCACTCAAGTCGTGACCTCTTACTGGCTGGGCTTCACGAAGTTTCCATGAAATCAAGTGTTACTTGAAGACTTAAGAGACAAAATTGGGAACAAAAATGATGACAGTTAAGAATGATGGTCTACGTAAAACCGACAAAACATTACAGGCACCAAAATTCAGAAAATGTTTCTTTATTTCACATGAGTGCATTAAGTACATTTGTTACAACACACGCATACTGAATTATGAAGATTCATATTAGACACAACTACACCTGTTCGTTATCAAGTCGTTTTGTGCATTGTGTCTGTATTCCAATTGGTCATTCAGCAATAAATCCGAGTTCCTCTGTTTACATAGGTGTGTACCTGTGATCCAAAGGTGCCAGCTGGGTATTTACAAATACTATGCTTAATTATAATTTATATTATAATTTAAGTATTAATGTCAATCATTTTATATTTAATTATTTATTTTATTATTTTATAATTCAAAACACCTGTTCTGTGTTGCAACAGACATACTAAATGTATCCATCTGGCTGATGATCTGAACTGGGGCTTATTACTGGGGTAGGGCTTATATTATGAGCATCCTGAAACGTTGTGCTAGGGCTTATTTTCCAGGAAATATGGTATGTGGAAGGGAATGCCTCACATTATTTGGCATAAACTAACAAAAGCATGGTATCCACACTGGAATCAAATGGAATTATGAAATAAAATATTTTATAGGAATTCATATATTTCTACAAAGATTAGTAGTTAGAAAATGACAGATGCTAAATCCCTATTCCAACTTACTTAATCAAGGAGAGAACTAGAAAGTTGTTACAATCAGTTCAAACAAGAATTTTTCTAACAGAGATCTTAATGGGTTATAGGAGGAATTACTTTGTGTTGTTGTGAACAGTAACAATTTGCATATCTGTTAACAGGAAATCTTTGCGTGACTGTCATTTTCCTACTGGTTACCTTCTGCCTCTACAGAAGTGTGAAATAGCTGTCACAGACCAATCAAAATCCCTGTAGGATTGGGTCATTCCTGGAGGCTCCAACATCCTGCTAAAAGGGTCTCCAGTAATCTCTGTTGCCCTCACAAAGCCTTATGGTTTTCCTTACCAGTGCTAGGATTTCAGAGCTAAAATACCCCTGGGAGGTTGGCAGACTATGAACCTATAGGCCAAATCCAGAAAACTGAGCAAAACAATTGATCTAGGTATTGTCTCTGACTGCTTTCCCCTACAAAGGCAGAGTTGAGGATTTATGATAGAAACCAAATGCTTCAGACCCTAAAATATTTACTGTTTGATCTTTCACAGAAAAGAATTGTCAACCTCTGCCCAAACTCCTAATTATTACCTGATTATCATGAGTACGGGAGCCTGAATATTGATTTTCCAGTGTACTTTTGCTTTTATTTACCGCGTTCCATATATGTACTCAAGTTATTGGATCCTGGTCATATTTATCTCCTCCATTTAGGAAATCCACGGAGCAGGGCCTACCCAGGATCACACATCTATTTAGAAGCTGAAATTAGAACCTATCTCCTCTCTTGCTCTTTCTACTACAATGCTTCTTTGCCCAAAGAGGGATGACGTCAGTTAGACAAATGGAGAGGTGATGAACATTAAGCGAAAACAACATGTAATTACCAGGGCATTATCAATACCATAATGAATGTGAATCTTGTCATTTTTCCCCAGTTCAACAATGTGGAATTCACACTCAACAAGCTTGTTACCCACTGGCATTTGGGGTTCCTGCTGCTCTCATGGCTGTATCCCTAAGTAAGTAGAAACTGCTTGGATTAATACAAGCTGGTGACCAGGTCAGACCCTACACTAATTATGGTGACTAAGCTTTTAAAGTCTACATAACAAATTGAAACAAAAAGTAGAGTGAAGAATTAGTATAAAGAGAGAATATGCTCTCTTACAGAGAAGAAAGTAAGGACTTACAGGAAAAAGAATCAACTGAGTTGGACATTTAAAGGTCTGGTACTATTTTAGGCAGATGAAGGTGCAGGTGATAGTCTACTAGGCTCGCTGAACCTATGGCTGAAAGCTTTTGGCCTTATTGACATTTCCTTACCTGCAGCTTGTTTTTAGGAATGGCAACCTGGTTCAATTGCCACTAAAGTAATAAGTTTCCATAATCTGTCCCCGCTAAATGTCTCTACCAGAAGTCCTTTCATCTAGAAGGTGCACAGGTGTGTGTTAGATGCATTCATTTGCATATTCTTGGCATTGGCTTTCGAGGAAAGGTGACGCTTCCTATGTGGGACCATCTGACTTGGAAGATGGTAGAACAGGGACACAGCCCAGTGGCCACCTCATGCCTTCATAGCCTCTTCTCCTGCTCTGCTGACAGAGCTGTCGGCAATGGCATCACTTTCTCCACTTTTTGTTTTCAGGTCTTACTGGTGTGGAACAGCCTCATTTTATCGCTTGCTCGTGTTGTAGCAATGTTGCTTTGTCTTACACTCCTGTGAGAGTTCAGTATTCTCCCCTTTTCAATATTTCTCTTCCCTTCCAGTATTCTTCAAATACTGCTGCACTCCCCTAAAAGGCTCCCGGGTGCGCTTCTTCTCTCTAATTCTGCCTGGTAGACAGATAGCATATTAAAAGGTCGTGTGTATGCCAGACACTGTATTATGCACCTTAGGAAAATTCTCTTTTAGACTGTATGTCATCCTTAAAGTTCTTCTTATGGAAAATTGAGAACAGACACAATCCTACACGCCAACACCACCTCTAGGAATTTCTGTGTATGAACTAGGCTTCAGAGTATCAGCAGCTGAAGGACCCCTCGGGCATGGTGGTGCGCACCTGTTAGCCCAGGTAGGGGGGAGCTGCAGCAGGAAGCTCCCAAGTGCAAGGCAGCTGGGCAGCTTAATGAGACCCTGCCTCAAAATGACAGCTTTCAGTTTTCTAAAGGACTAAGGGTGTAGGTCAGTGGTAGAACACTTGCCTTGCATGCTCCAGACCCTGGATTCAATCTCTAGTACTGGACAAAAAGTTTTTTAAAATTAAAATGTTAGTTGGTAAAAGAAAATGTGGACTTAGTCTATTAGACCTCTTTACCCCGAATGTGCATTTCTGCCTTGAGGAAGCCTGGCATCAGGTAAGGATAAGCAAATGTCTCCTTGGTCAGCCATGTATATAGTGAGGATTGAACTCAGGGTGGTCACGCTGAGCTACATCCCCAGCCCTTTGTATTATTTTCAGACAGGGTCTCACTGTGTCACTAAGTTGCCCAGGATGGGCTTGAACTTTCGATCCTCCTGCCTCAGCTTCCCAGAGTGCTGGGATTACAGGTGTCTCTTCTTCATTAAGGAAACCAAGTGTAGAATTCAAGTAAGCCATTCTTGTTTTGTAGTTTTTGAATTGTGGTATTGGACAATCAGAAATCCTACTATAGGGGCTGTTTTCAGAGTCTCCTGCAAAGTGCTTTTTTTCTAATTGATTCTCACAATATGGCTTTTGCTAACAAAGTCCATGGAAGAATGGCTTCATTGCAAAGGTGCTTCCAATTTTTGTAAAACAAGCTACAGATGCAATTAATTGTAACTGTGCTTCTGTATAGTGACCGTAGGAAAAAAATTCTACCATATGATTGTTTCAACAGATTAAGTGCTTTTGCTTGAATATTAAAAAGAAAAATGGTAAGAATATTTTTCCTGCCACTATAGCCAGAAAATTAATGCTGTGCTTGTCTGCAGAATAATGCATGAATCCTGTACATGAAAGCATCTACTCCTTTTGTCTCCCTTTAAATAGAACTTGTGCTTAAATTGCTGTACTGGGTCTGTGAGCTGCCATACATTCTGGGAAATTGATAGATCATACTAGGCTTAAATGTTTATATGGTGGAGCACAGACATAACATTACTCAGAGGGTTTATGATTGTTAGGCTCAAAAGCACATCCTCATGTAATGGCTCACAGCTGTAATCCCAGCCCTCAGAGGCTGAGGTAGGAGGATCCCCATGAGTTCAAGACCCGCTTGGGCTATGTAATGAATTTAAGTCCAGCCTGAACTACATAGTGAGAACCTGTCTCAAAAAACAAAAAATATTCTCAACTGTGAGATAAACAGGTAAGCCATTGTATAAATAATCCAGTTATTTCTAAACAAGATTATTACTCAAATAAAAGCACATCTCTCAGGCCACAGGTAGCTCTGGCAAATGCTACATTAACACCCCTCCTTTGTTCCATCTAGTTGTATTTGTTACCGGCAGTCGGATGTATAAGAAGTTCCAGCCACCGGGCAACATCATGGGTAAAGTGGCCAAGTGCATTGGTGTAAGTATTTCCATAACCCTTTCTTGAGGCGTCGACTCACCCCAGAATCTCATACCTCCTTTCAGTTAAAATTCAATTCTTTCTCTTTCCCTTAAACATATCTTTAGTGTTCTTAACTATTTTGATCAGCTTTAATTATAAACTTCTTATATGGAAAAGCACACAGACAGAACTCAAGAAAGGAAGAATAGAAGTGGTTTGGTTTTTTTTTTGGTACGGGGGATCGAACTCGGGTCCTTGCACTTGTGCAGCAGGCTGCGAAACCACTGACCTAAATCCCCGGCCCCTGGAAGTGGTTTTTGAGCTGAAGTAAGATCAGTGGGCAAAATGACTCTTTCTCTATCACATTGGCACCCAGTGCCTGATGTTTTTCAGAGAAACAAAAATGGGCCACTCCATTTGGCACTGTATATCAAGAGTAATGAAACCGTGAGGTCAATGATGCTATTTGAAGGAATTAGGCTAGTAATATAATATATGTAAGGTATATAATATAATAATAGGTTAAAGTAATATTTTAAAATGAACATAGATTCACATACCAAGAATATCAATGGAACACACTTGTCATCCCAGCTACTCATGGGGCTGAGGCAAGAGGACCACAAATTCGAATCTAACTTGGCCAGTTTAGCAAAACCCTGTCCCAAAGATAAAAAGGGCTCCGATGTATGATCTATATCCTGTTGCCTTTTCCCCACCCCCTGGTGGCCTGACTCCCACTTTGCTGCGGCCTCATTCCTGTTCCTCACAAAATGTTTTTTATTTCTGTGAATTTAATACAAACTTCACCAGTTCAAAATAAAATAAAATAAATAGGACTGGGTAGTAGCTCCATTAAGAGTCCCTGGGCTCAATCCCCAGTATACAAAAAATAAGAATATCATTGTAATATATTTTGGCAAGAATTTAAGCCCACCAAATTGCTGAACATAGGAAAGTGATGCTTAATTTGCAGAACATCTCTGGCATCTCACATAGCCATCACGAGTCTTGTTTTCAAAGAATCTGGTAATAGGGATGTGCAGAATTTTGTTTCTTGCATATGCATCTATTGAAATATAGGAACACTTATAGGCAGGCAAGAAATGTTGAAAGTAGGAATCTTTAGAAAACAGAATCAAAAATTTTTTCCTTTACATACCTTTTTAGTGAATATATGTGTCATAGAACCGTATGACCTGCATCCTACAGCTTTGAGTTAATGCCTTGTGGTCACATACATTCCCCCGCCACCAACTTCACTCCCTCTTGCTGCTGTATCACTGCAAGTGTGCTGTGTGCACGCTAGTGCATTTTCTGATCAGTGTTACCCTCAATTGAAATATATGCTCAATGCGTTGGTTATTTTATTGACTGGATTATAAGAAATCACTGATATTTAAAAAATTTTTGTCGCTTGCTTGCTTTCTGTCTGTCTGTCTGTCTGTCTGTCTTTGCTTAGGATGAAACCCAACCCAGGCCCTTGCACATACATGCTAGACAAGTTCCCTACTTTTATTTTCTTAAAATGTATTTCTGAGGGTTTTTTGATCTTAAATTTTTTGAATAATGCTCAATTCAGTTACCAGAAAGATTTTGAACGTTTGGAACAACCTAGTATGTAAATTGAATTTTTTTAAATATGAAATTTGAATTTTAGAAATATGAAATGAAAGACAGGTCATATGTTTCTGATAAAAAATTTAGCAATTAAATTGAGATAGGTCATAAGTGGACATAATCTCCTTGAATTTTAAAAGTTTTTGATGAAAAAATAATGTAAAGATTCTCACTAATTTTTTTTTTTTTTTTTTTTGCTGGGGATCAAACTCGGGTCCTTGCGCTTGCGAGGCAGGCGGCGACACCACTGAGCTAAATTCCCGGTCCTATTCTCACTAATTTTTAATAGATTATATATTAAAATCATATCTAGGGTTTATTGAGTTAAATAAGATATATTTTAAATGAATTTTATTTGCTTTCCTTTCATTTGTTAATTTTGCAACTAGAAAACTTAACTGAAAATGTGTGTTGTGTTGTGTTTCTACTGAACGCACTTCTCCAAAGGGCCTGGAGTAGGTGGGGACAGTGACTCTGTTTACCCTGAAACATCTTAATTAGAAGGAAACTAAAGACAAATGTCTCAGCCTGTGCCTGTTAGCATACTCAGTATACCGAACATACAATTTCATATTTTGCTTTTCTCACTGATTTTTCCATTAAAATGTGTGTAATTGCAATGTGTTTCCCTGATGATGTTGTTGATTCTATTTTGAAATTTTGTTTTTCCTTCCTTCTTTCAGTTTGCCATCAAAAACAGGTTTAGGCACCGGAGTAAGGAATTTCCCAAGCGGAAGCACTGGCTGGACTGGGCTAAAGAGAAATACGAGGTACGGAACCATTCTTACTATGGCACTTCCGGGTCCTCCAGCGAGCACTTCTGAAATCACAGCTCTTTACATTAACTCTACAAGGGCATAGTTATCAGTGATACCCCCTCACCATTATGAGCACATTAAATAAGACTATGCCTAAATTTATTTTTTTCACTTTTAGTTTTTAAATGTGTTTGCAGTGCATAATGATTACATTCTTCATGGGGAGTTGGTATATGTACATAATGTTTTCTTTTTTAAAGTTGAGAACTTGATAAACAATGGATATATTTATCTGAAATTATTACCTTTTCTTAGTTTTTCATATGGTATAACTGCCCTTAATTATATGTAATTATGATTATATAACTTTAGTTTGAACACGGAAGAGGTAAGGAGTGGTGATGGCATTTATAGTTAGTGGGATTTACATTTTGCAAACTGGAGTAGTAAATTACCTCCTAACCGGATGTTTTCACTCATCTTTTCAATAGTTATCTAACGTTGCCTGCGATGGTGTTCTTTGGGACAATTAATCACCTCCTAGTTTGTCTCTAGATGCAAATGTCTAACTCTGAAATGTACCTTGGCTTTGTGAGTGACACAAATCATTTCATCTTTCCTCCCTATAGGAGCGGCTTATCTCTCAAATTAAGATGGTTACAAGGGTGATGTTCCTTTATATTCCGCTCCCCATGTTCTGGGCCTTGTTTGATCAGCAGGTAATGTTTCTGTGTTTAGCAAACATACTCTGGGTTCTACCATGTACAGAGCCATACTTCATAGTTAGCTCCTAAAAATGTTCCATTCCAGTTTCTTTTTTTCTGGATTTCACTTATTGGTTATATCACATTGAGTTTATCTGTAGAAAAAAAAAAAAAAGAAACAATTCTTGAAGCTTCTGTTCACTGTTGCAAGCAATAAGGCAAGTGAGGCAAATGAGGCACAGTCAGGAAATTAGCTTTGTGGGAAATTTTATCAGCATCCAGGACTCCTGCCAGTCAAAACTGAGGGGAAAGAGAGCTTGTTTTCTACTGACCCAGCAAGATAAAAAGATGTCCTGCCTTGGATGGGATCCATGGATGTTGAGACCGACAGGTCTTGATGTCTTCCTCAAAATGGAATGCTTGGGCTAGAAGTGCCATCAGGGATGTGACCAAAGTCATCTCCCCCAGCGCAGTGACCCAGCCCAGCAGGGTGACTGGTTGCTCTGCTCTTCCTACCCACTGTAAGGCACACATTGGAATCTTGCACAGTAGTGCTAGGCAACTCAATGCACAGTGCTTAGGAGCTGAAGAAAATAGGACAGTATTTCTTTTATTTCTTTTAGAAACTGAAGTTTTAAAAAAAGGAAACTATGAGCGTATGTGTTTTTATCGTACGGGAAGGCTACTGTAAGTGTAAATCATCCCTTGGGAAAAGACTGAGCATATACATTAATCTCCTTACTTGTGAGCATGAGATGTAGGGGCAGGGAAGTGGCCCTGCGTGCCAGATAGGAGCCTACCTCGCCTACTGCTGGGTGACTTGGCATCAGAACTCCTAGCCCTTCTGGAAAGGTCATGATAACCCAGCTTGAGGCTGTAAGGCTCAAATTGGGGCTGGGTATGAAGTGCTGGGTGACTGGTATATGTTAAGAATGTGAAGGGGCAGATTTCTTTCTATGAAGTCCGCCTGGTGGACACACACGATGGGTTCACATTAAAGCCTTTCTGTGTTGACATCCACAGAAATCATCAGTTGTGCAGTTTTGTTTGCTCCATGCTGACCCAATCAAAGCAGGCCATTTATTTTAATGAAAAGGAAAAAGCTTTATTCAGAGCCAGCTCCAAGGAGATGGAGGGGCCTCCTGTGCCTCCAGTCACCATCTGGCTTTGTCTAGGTGTGCAGGGGTCTTTTATAGTCGGGGACAGAGGCGAGGGTACAGGACAGATAGTACACATCTCCAGGCTTGCTTTATCCTCCCAGCTATGTCCAGCTCTATTCCTCCCTTCCCTGGGGAAAGCAGAGGGGGTCTGGCCTCCCGGGGCCAGTGTCTGCATATTCTGTCCTTCATGGGGCTGCGGACAGGAGGGGCTTGTACACCCAGCAGGAGGAATTTTGCAGGAGCTGCTCATCTCTAAAAGGAGAAACTGTTTATCTCTAAAAAGAAAAAATCTAACTCCTAAGAGATCCTTTTTACCGTGCCTGTTACAGGATCACCGCTTACTATCCGGCAAGTTAACTGTCTCTGGGCTGCTGAGATTAGGATTCACACCATCTCGAGGGGATCCATGTTAAGCCCTCTAGACATTAAATGTGGCTCCTATCAATCAGAGTGGACTTTGCTGAGAGTACAGAGCTGTTTTCACTCTGCAGGTGGCAGCAGCTTCCAACCATGCTCTGGCGAGCCTTTCTAACTCCAAGGACAGCTTCGAGTCCCAGCAGCAGTGTGCGTGTCCTCATGAGGGCTGTGGCTCTGTATGTGGTGTCCCTGGTGTAACAGAAATGCAACTTCTTTCTCTCTACCTTGTGTTATTGTGGAGCTGGGAGGCCAACTTGATGTTTAAAACTTTCAATCTCAGGGCCGGGGATTTAGCTCAGTGGTTCCCTCGCTTGCCTAGCAAGCACAAGGACCCGAGTTCGATCCCTGGTACCAAAACAAAACAAAACTTTAAATCCCATAACTTTTCAGGCCTCATTTGTGATTTTAAAAAGACTTGGGAAATTTTTAAAAACCTGTTGCCAACTGATACAAAAATGTGTTCATTTTGAAGGGCTCCAGGTGGACACTGCAAGCGACAACTATGACTGGGAGAATTGTAAGTTTGGGATCTCGTATTTTACCTTCCTTGGTCACTGCTCCTTTGTTTTGGTCCCTTTGTCCTCTTTCTCCTTCCTTTCATGGTGTTTTTCAATGAGATTTCTCTTTTCTTTCTTTGCAGGGCGCTATTGAAATCCAGCCGGATCAGATGCAGGTAGGAGAAAATTGCTAAGTTGCTTCCGGAGCCCCAAGTGGTCCTTGAGGCAGCGCTAACCTCCTCTGTTTCCCCTGCAGACTGTGAACGCCATCCTGATTGTAATCATGGTCCCTATCTTCGATGCTGTGATCTATCCTCTGATTGCCAAATGCGGCCTCAATTTCACGTAGGTTCTGGGTTGGTCTGGGCTAGTACAGGTGCCAGTTTTCTGGGGCTTTGCCCGGGAACCACACTCCCTCTGCTTCTGGCACATCAGGGCAAGGACGCCTTCTATCAGTTGATGGGATTTTTAAAGAAATGAATTACGATTTTTTTTGTCAATGTTTTTAAAATGCCTTTAAAAATAAAGGTTCTGGGCTGGGGATTTAGCTCAGTGTTTCCGGTGCCTGCTGTGCAAGCTCGAGGTCCCGAGTTCGATCCCCAGTACAAAAAAAAACATACACACACACAAAATAAATAAATCAAGGTCCTAGCCAGGTACATGGTGTACACCTCTAATCTCAGCACTCTAGGAGGCTGAGGCAGAGGATTGCAAGTTTGAGCCCAGCCTGGGCAACTGAGAAGTTTAGTGAGACCCTGTCTCAAAAGGAGGCGGGGAGTACTGGGGATGCAACTCGATGCAAAGGCCCTGGGTTCAATCCCTAGTACTGCAAAAACTAAACCAAACTAGATAAAAACTTTTTTTAAATTCTACAAATTGTGCCTGAAAAAGCCTCTAAGGCTATCTTATGTATGTACGGTCAAAATATACAATGAATGTTTAAATTTTTAAAATGTTTGTTCTAGTAGAAGATTCATTGCCACTAATCACCCCTCAAAATATCCCCCCTCACTTTGAGCACACTTATCTCATTGTTCTGACCACTTTCTGAAGCAGTTCTAGAAGTCTCTTTTGGGTCTTTAAGAGATGTGCCAAAAAAAAAAAATTCAGAATGAATTCAAAATCAAAAGGACCATGGGCCAGGGATTTAGCTCAGTGGTTTTGCCACCTGCTGCACAAGCACAAGGATACAAGTTTGGTCCCCGGTACCAAAAAAAACAAAAAAACAAAAAAAAAAACCATGAAAGGTAAACGTTCTGAATCAAGGCAGCCATGACAGCACAACTAAAGACACTCATGAAAGAGGACTTCCAGATCTGCTTCAGAAAGTGACAAGAAGGATGGGATAAAGGTGTTCAAAGGGAGAGGGAGTTAATGGCAATGGGTCTTTTACTGTAATAAATACTTCTTTAAAAATTTTAAGCATTCACCATATTTTTTAATCATACCATGTGGTGATAAAATGTGAGCTACAATCCTGAGTATCACCTCAACTGTTGTTTCTAGAAATTAAACATAAAAGTGCAAATGAGAAGTGGTATCCATCTGCTTCCCTTAGCCCTGGTCACAGATACCGGAATGAGAGACATTTCCTAGTGCCTGCCCATTGCAGGGAACCTGGTTGCACCAGAGGAAGGTGGGAAGGTGTCTTTTTTTTTTTTTTTTTTTGGTACCGTGGATTGAACTTGGGACCTTCTGCTTGCAAAGCAAGTGCTGGAACCACTGAGCTAAATCCCTGGCCCAGGAAGGCGTCTTTTGAAGCTTATCCTTAGCATCTCTGTGAGAAGCTGTCTGAGGTTTGCTTTCTTCTTGTATCCATCAGCTCCCTGAAGAGGATGACAGTTGGAATGTTCCTGGCTTCCATGGCCTTTGTGGTGGCTGCCATTGTGCAGGTGGAAATTGATGTGAGTCTTCTTTGAGTTTCCAATATCCTTTCCTGGTGGGTTTGGGGGAGCACGCAGAATCTTTCTCCAGAACTAAGAGGACTTGGGGACACCAGGGTCTCTCCCTATATACAGTTCCAGGCCATGGAGCTACAGAATGGTATGGGGCGAGGGTCAAAATAGTCCCTTTCCATCCATGAACACTGGATTCTCACACTGCAGAGGCGCAGCGGGAAGAGGGTTGAATGGGTACTCTCCTTTAGAAGAAGAAAGGTATGCAAACAGCTTCCATTTACAATCCAGTTTTCATCAAGAAGGAAGTTTATGGTTCTTTGCAATCTCAACGTGCAAGAAATCTGATAAAGTTTGTCATTCACTAACAAGCAACACTTCAAAGTATGCACATAGTCTTTGTGATGGAAATACACATTTTTGGATGCTGATGTCTCTAATAACGGTTAGCCCCTAAGCTAATCCACATCTTTTGGACTCGCAGTGCACTAAACTAATCTCCTGATGTTGTTAGCATGAGATCACGTCTTAGTTCCAGAAGTAGGTGTTGTGTGGTTCGTGAAACATGAGGTGAGAGGGTTTCTCTCTGTCTCTTAGTCTCTCTGTTCCCAACCTTCTCTTTCAAGTTCTTTCAAATTAAAAAATGTTTTAAAAATTAAATTGTGATAAATGCAACATGGAATTTAGCATCTTGCCCCTTTCTAAGCGGCGTTACACACGTTCATCTTGTTGTGTCCCCACCCAACACCCTTTTTCGTCTTCCCAAACTAAACCTCTGTGCTCATTAAACAACTCTCCGTCTCTCCTTCCCCCAGACTCTGGCATCCACCATTCTACTTTCTGTCTGTACAAATTTGATTTCTCTAGGCACCTCAGATAAGCAGGGTCATGGAGTATGTGTCCTTTTGTGATTGGCTTGTTTTACTCAGCACAATGTCCTCAAGGCTCACCCACAATGTGGCATGTAACAGGATCTCTTTTCTTTTTAAAGGCTGAATAGTATTCCATGGTGTGGACATACCACATTTTCTTTGTACACCCATCTGTGCATGCACACCTGGATTCCTTCCACCTCTTGGCTACTGGGCACAAGCCTGCTCTGAGCATGGGTGTGCTCATTCTCTTGCTCATGGCTGGCTTTGTGGGAAAGGAATTGTGGGTAAAGTGGAAGTGGATTGCTTTGGTGGCACTGGATTTGAGAAAGAGCATTGTAAAAGAGAAAAAGAGAGAAGAGAGAGAGAGAGAGAGAGAGAGAGAGAGAGAGAGAGAGAAGAAGCCCTGAGCCCAGACCTGGAGGCCCGAGGCTGAAAGCATTTGTGAGAAGATGGTCACATTCGGGGCTGAGGATGGGCTCGGAGGACAGGGAGGGATCAGGTGTCAGATCCAGGCTTGCTGCCAAGTGAGCTGCTCTCTCAGGCTGTGGCTGCTCTGACCCCAGACACGGGCTTAACACCCAGCATTCTCGGAGCTGGAGGTGCCAGGCAAGGCCAACACAGGATCTTTCCAATGCCCTCCAGTGCCCTTTTCTCTGGTCGCCATGAGGTCAGATAAGTGGCCACAGGCATAGCAGGGGTGTTTCCACATCCCTGCCAGCACAGCTTTGGATGGCTAGAAGGAAGGGGACTTCAGGACGCAGATGAAAATGACCGTCTGCATCACATCGAAGACCTCACTGTCAATTTTTTCTTCTTTTGCACAGAAAACTCTTCCAGTCTTCCCCGAAGCACACCATGTCCAAATTAAAGTCTTGAATATTGGAAACGATAACGTGACTGTATCTTTTCCTGGAGAAACAGTGACCCTGGGCCAGATGTCTCAAGTAAGTGAGCACAGGGAATTGCAACCTTCTTTCGTGCCTTCTGACCTGAGTCATGATAGGATTTGGAGAAGCAGCTTGTCGTAGGCCTGGTACAAATCTGCCCGGAAGCACAATGCCTCAGTCTCTTGCTCTCTCGCTGGCCCTGCTCGAGATCAATGTACCTCTGACTTGAATCTGTGTACCGACCGCCTTGCAGCTTGTAAGGATGCAGGTTCTGTTCTGTTTTGTTTTGTTTTTTGGTGTTTTTGAGACATAGTCTCGCTATGTTCAAGGTCAGGCTGGGCTTAAACTCACCATGTAGTAGGCTGGCCTCAAATCTGAGGTGATCCTCCCCCCTCAGCTTCCCAAGTGCTAGAATTATAGGCATGTACCACCATGCCTGTCTAGGATGCAGATTCTGAATCAGCAGATCAGAAACACTGCATTTCTGCAGGCTCCTGGGTACTGCTGCTATAAAAAAAAAATCCATGGGACCCGGGATTTAGCTCAATGGTTCCACCACCTGCCTCATAAGCGCAAGGTCCCGAGTTCAATCCCCGGTACCAAAAAAATTAAAATAAAAAATCATGCTTCAAGTAGCAAGGAAGGGCAGTGGTTCAAAACTGGGTGATTGTGTCCCTTGGGAACATTTGGCAATTTCTGGAGACTCTTTTGTCATTGCAACTAGAAATGTCCTGTTGGTGCCTCATATGTAGAAGTGGAGATGCTGACATAACAAAGAATTAGCTGGCCCAGGGTCAACAGTGCCAAGGTCAGGAAACCTTGCTCTACGTGGTCGTATTCTGGATTAGTTGTTCCCAACCTTGAGTTCATATTGGAGTCACCCAGAAAGCTTGGAAAACACTGATAGCTGGGTCCAAACCCCAGAGATCTTGGTGTGACTGCTCTCATTCCTACTCAGCCAGAGTTGGAACCACTGCCTTTGACCTTGCCAAGCTAGTGACCCTGAAGAAGGTTAAACACGCATTCGTCAGCCCAATACTGGCTGCATGGGGGCTGTTGCTCTTCCTCTGCTGCTGTTCTTTGCCCAGTGCCAGAAATAATTTCCATGCCATTAATTGTCATGAAACAAAAGTAAAATGCTTGGTGGAAAGTAGAATTCCCATGGTAATGCTAAAAAGCTTCATAGCAGAATCCGTGAGGTTGAAGCGATACGTGTCAGCTCTCCATAAGGCATTGTCAGTGGGTAAGAACGTGAACTTGGACAGCTGGAATGCCAAGTAACTGGGCCATTACAGTGTTTGAAAGTGCAAAACAGGACTCTGTGATTAACTGTGGCTCCTTCCACCCATTGACAGACAGATACATTTATGACTTTTGATGTAGACCAACTGACAAGCATCAACGTGTCCTCCCCTGGATCACCCGTCACGGGGGTGGCCCAAGACTTTGAGCAGGGCCATCGCCACACCCTCCTAGTGTGGGGCCCCAGTCACTACCGCGTGGTGAGTAGCTGACATCTCCATCTGACTGCTGTTTGTGAAGCCGGAGGCCTGACTTTTATTGGTGTGACTTTGTTTTACTTCTATGTGGTATTATATCTTTTGACTTCTAGTTAAAATTGGACTGGTAGATGGAAAGGGTTAAATACTAATTAAAAATTTTAAAAAGAGTCGAGCAGGATATGGTGTGTGTGTGTGTGTAATTATGCCGTTAATTTTCTTGGTCTTTTGCTTAATTAGAGAGCTATTGACTTTGGTCTAAGTTCTTGGAAATTAGTATTCTTTGGAAACATTGGAAATCAAGGATCAAAAGTACTAAAGGCTCCTGTCAGCCTGAAAAAATAGAGCCCTTCAAATGTAATAAAATTATGCCCTTAGCTACTAGGTTAAGGGTTGACATCACTGTCCTCAAAGGCTGAAATGTTAATGTGAATTTATTTTAAGGAATTCAATATCAGAAATGTTTTTATATTACTGTTTGCTCTCCTCAGGTAAAGGATGGGCTTAACAAGAAGCCAGACAAAGGAGAAAATGGAATCAGGTATGAATATTTCTTTAAAATTCGAGTTATATTACTTTCTGATGGAAATGATGCATGCCCATAGTAAAATTCAACTGTAATAAGAGTATAAAATGAGAGTATGGGGCCTATCCTAAGAGTGTAAGGCTGGTGCAATCGATTTTTAAAAATTAATCCATATAATCTTTCATCTAAATAAACTAAAGAGGAAAATCCACATCCTTCTTATCAACTGATGCAGAAAAAGCAGTCAACATCCATTTATGATGAAAACTAAGGTAATTAGGAATGTAAGAGTTTCCTTACCCTTAAGAAGGACACCTACAAAAAACTTTCCTGGAAAAAGTCTAATGCTGTCCCCTAAGATCAGGAACAAGAACAAGATACTACTCTCCCCATTTCTATTCCACATCCTTCTGGATGCCAGAGGAACGAGATAAGAGAAAGACACAAAAACATGTAGATTAGAAAGGAAGAAATAAAGCTGTCTCTACTTAACAGGTGACAACTGTCTACATAAAAAGTATTTGGGACTCTACTCGAACCAAGGTCACAAGAGGCAAGAGTGACAACAGCAAAAATTCACCCTATTTCTCTGTACAAAATGAGCAATCAGAAAGTGAGATTTTAATACCCTATCATTGGCACTATCTCCCCCCAAAGCATGAAGTGTGTAGTATACATTGACCAAAAATGCCTTGTTCTCATCTCACTCTTGGCTCAGGGGTTGAATGCCGACCTTTTCTCCCAGGGCTCTGATGCCTCATCTCTATTTCCTTCGTACCTGCTGCGCTCACTTGTTCCGACGGGGAAAATGTGTTTGCAGTCTTTGTCACTTATTTCATCTTCTCAAACTCGGCAACTTCTTTCTCGTTGGCATTTCCAGATCCCTCTGCAGTGTAACTAAATATGGGCATTTTATTCAGCTCAGCACGACAAAGACTTTTCAGATTTTTTTGTTCCTTCCTTCATTTCCTTTGTTTCCTTTATATGAGTTTGCCAGAACTACCATGACCAAGTACCCCAGAATGGGTGGCTCACTTGCACAAAAAGCTGTGTCCTCACTGTTCCTCTGGCTGGAAGTCCAAGATCAAGGGACCAGCAAGGTGGGTTTCTTCCGAGGCAAGGCCTCTCTCCGTAGCTCGCAGACGGTCATCTTCTGGATGTGTCTCCACATGGCCTTTCCTCTATGCATGCCCAGGTCCTAATCTCCTTTTCATATAAAGACACCAGTCATGTTGGTTTAAGTCCCACCCTAATGAAAATTTTTTTAAATTTTATTTTATTTTATTTTATTTTGTGAGACAGAGTCTCTCTATGTAGTTTAGCCTGACCATCAACTTACTATGCAGCCCAGGCTGGTCTCAAACTCATAACAATCCTCCTGCCTCAGCCTCCTGAGTGCTGGGATTACAGGTGTGCACCAGCACTCCCGGCTCTCATTTTACCTCTTTAAAGACCTCACCAAATAGTCACATTTTGAGGCACTGAGAGTTAGGGCTCCAACGTGGATTTGGAAGGGTTACACTTCAGGCCTGAACACCTTGTTTCAGATCTCTGGGATTGTCCCTCTGTCCTACCCGCACACCGAGACACAGCTGCCCCAGGGGATCTGGAAGGAAATATGCTGCTGATGGTCACCTACCTGGTCGTTCCCGGACCTTTGCATTTGAGTCTGAGCTGGAATCCCCACGGGGGTTTCCTTTTTGCCTTGGAGTGAGGATGTCATTGCTTTGGTGGAAATTTTGAGCAGTTCAGATTGTGGTATCCTCTTTGATCTGGTACTATAAAAACGCACCAGAAAAAAAAGCTTATAAAAGCTTAATTATTTAAAAAGATTTTCTTTGATGAAATCTTGAAAAAGAAGAGAGATGTGTGAGTTTAGTAATATATCACCCCCCACCACCATGTGGTAAAAGATAAATGAGAAACTTTTTTCTACTAACTGACAACATCAAATCCTTAATGGATCAAAGATTTTATTATTTCAGTAATGCCTTAGATTTCAAAAAGGGGAAGCTCTAAAAAATGGTTATCAGAAAATAAATAGAAAAACTTCAATAATTTCATGAAGTCAGACTTCTGAGTAATATGTGAATTAAAGGAAGACTATACAAATTTTCAGCCAATGAAATCCTTTTGATTACATGGTATCGGTAATTTGCAAGATTTAAACAATTACCTTAAATTGGCCTTTAAAGGGGCAATTCTTCTGGTCAAAAATGAGTTGAAAATTTGATGTTTATCTTTCTTATGTATTCTTAAACATTATATCAGTACATATTATATGTATTCATAAATACTATGTTGTAATATTATAGATAATATAAAACCTATTATTTTAATACTTAGCCATATTGATATGTACTTCTCTTATCCATTCACTTTACCATTGTATAGTATTCCACTGCATAGGTATACTACAATTTATTTATCCATTCTACCATTCAAGAAAATTTGTTATTCCCATTTTGCCAAACAATACCACAACCCACATTCTTACCTGTTTCTTTGTCCATATATAGGAAGCTTCTCTAGGGCAGTAGCCTTTAAACTGTTCATCATACCTAATAAAAATATTTTGAACATGTACCCCAGATGTATGAATATGATATCCTTTACAAATTACATATAAAAACCACTGTATCAAATTAATATGTGTTACAAAGCTGATGAAACTTGGCCACATTTTATGGGCATAAACTTTAAATTGCTCTTTACAGAACTTAAATGTGCACTATTATTTCTTGTTCTCTGCTTTTGATGATCTGCTATGAGCCTTCACTTACCTATTTGGTAGGGGAAAAATCAACTGGTCTTATTTTAGGCAGCACCCGCTCATCTGTTTAGTACTACAAGAGTTTCAGAGCCTTCTACAGCCGGCACCATTTAAGGAAGTGATCTCTAATCATCTGCCCTCTCTGCCCACCACCTTTGTGGTCCTAGGAAGGCAGAGGACTCACTTGGTTCCGTGTGAGGCTTAGGCATGGGGGACTTGGCAGACTGGAAGCCCTGGGACTAGGGTCAGAGCCTGTTGGGTATCCACTCCTTCCTGCATTTCAGCAGGGTCCTGGTCATTGTCACCCCAGAGCCACACTGGTCTCTACCATCTGAGAGCAATTTCTTGAAACTGCCTCTTCAATCCTTCCCAAGGTCCTCCTCTGCCCCTGGCTCCTGGATGTAAAGGAAACAATGGTTTTGCTCCTCACCCCTTGAAAGAATCCTGGCCCAGGATGTCTTCTAGGTACAGGGCAACTTCCGGTCTTGGTCCTTCACCTCTTTAACACTAAAGCTTTTGGAGCAAGGAGCACCAAGGCATGGCTGCCTATTGGATGGGGCAAGGACCAGTGTTTATTTCCATGCCTATTTACTTGTCCCCAAACACCACTGAGCTAGTAATAGCTAACCTTCTGCCTTTAGGCACTAGGAATTTTCTGCAAGCATCTTCAGTTCCTTCAAAAATGGTAGCATAAGGCTGGGGATTTAGCTCAGTGGTTCCACCACCTGCCTCGCAAGCACAAGATCCTGAATTCAATCCCCAGTACTAAAAAAAAAGGGAAAAAAATGGTAGCATAGCCCAATGTCAGGTGCATGTCCTGTGATCTAGAATAAATCATTCCACTGTTCAGTTACAAGACAGGTGGTTTTCTGTTTCAGATTTGTAAATACTTTTAACAACGTGGTCAACATCACAATGAGTGGGAAAGTTTATGAAGATGTCACCAGTCATAATGCCAGCGAGTATCAGTTTTTTTCTTCTGGCATGTAAGTACCTTTCCTGGACACTTTGCTCTGAATTCAAGGGTAGGGCCGGGATGTAGCTCAGCGGCACAGCACCAGTCTGCCAAGTATGAGGCCCTGAGTTCGATTTCCGGTACCAAAAAACCCCCACAAAAATGAAATTCAAGGGTATCAAGTGGTTTTTTTTTTAATACACTGAGACTTATAATGTCAAGACTGTTAACCTCTATTATTCTTTCTCTTAATAGAAAAAGCTTCACGATTAGCTCAACAGAGTTTCCAGAGTCATGTCCACGTGATTTTGAATCTTCCAACCTTGAATTCGGTGGTGCTTATACCTACGTAATTGAAAGGCAGGTCAGTAACAGTCCATCCTATCAGTTCTACTCAGCCTTTACTGGCATGAACTCTTGCAAACATGTAGGACATCCTCATGATATGACTAGATGAGTATTAGGATCTATATTGGAAATGGTCAGAATTAATTCAACTCACCACTACTTCTTCAATTTATCATTGACCAAAGTTAACCACTAGAATAAAATTCAGCAGACTGACTTACATGGATTAGAAGTTCATGTTGACCAGTATCAGATGCTTCCTTATGGACTATAAACATGGACTTTAGGAACTTATACTTCAGAGAGGTAGCAATGTTTTAAACAAAGCTGACTTCCAATCTACTCTCATTTAAGAGGAAAATATTAGTGAACACATTTTCAATCCATCCAACGCTGTCCCATCACAAGTAGAAAAGGCAGTGTTGAACACTTACGTTTAAACAGTGTACTTTCTTATTAAATTGTACATTACCCTAGAAGGTCAAACTCAATGTCCATTTGAACAGTTGTTCTAGAAGCAATCTTGACTTCAATTTCAACTTCTTGCCTTTGCCTTCGTGGTCTAGAGTAACGGCTGCCCTGGAATAAAGCAATTTGAAGATATCTCGCCCAACACAGTCAACATGGCTTTGCAAATCCCGCAATATTTCCTTCTCACCTGTGGCGAAGTGGTCTTCTCTGTCACTGGACTGGAGTTCTCATATTCACAGGTTTCTCGTTTATTTTTTTTTAACCACTCTTCTCCTAACCCCCTACCTTCAAGAATGCTTCTGAGACTTAATTTAAATCTTGAATTGCTGCATGTTTATAGTTTTTCTTTTTTTTGGTACCAGGGATCAAACTCAGGTCCTTGAGCTTGCGAGGCAGGTGGCGGAACCACTGAGCTAAATCCCCAGTCCGTATAGTTTTTAAAAATTCTAGAAAAGCACTGTATCCTCCACAGAGCAAGGTTTTTGAGATTTGAGAAAGATCACAGGGCCTTTGCTGAGTAAGAACACTAGCCGGGTAGCTTTGTGAGTGCGTACATTCATATGTGTCTGTATTCCTGTGGTCACTCTAGCACTTTGCATCCTCGGCTGGGAGTGTAGCTCAGTGGTGGAGCCCTTGGCCAGAGAATAAGGCCCTGGGTTTGATCCCCAGCACTTTAAAAAAATAAATAGAGAGTATAGAGTCCTAAGTAAAAACACTATATTAATGATTGTCAGTAGAGTCACGGTAGTAGATTAAACAGCCAAATGGTACCAACTACTCAAAAATGTGCTCATTATAGATCTGTGTCCTCATAGTAGTTAAGGCTCAGTGAAGGTCAGTGTAGCTCCTAACGAACATGTCAAATAAGGTCTAGCTTTAAGAATAAGCTAAAACATATTGCTTTCAAATATATTTGACAGATGAGGCACCTGATAACCTGATACCCAGGTTATAGGTTAAGTTTCTGAACTATTTTATTAAAACTGCAGTTATGATCATTGTATCCCACGATTTCTCGTACCTTCAATTATGGTAGTTAAGGGCTGGGGATGTAGCTCTGTGGTGCCGTGCCTGCCTGGTAAGTGCAAGGTCCTGAGTTCAACCCCTGGTACTGCAAAAAAAAAAAAAAAAAATTATGGTAGTTAAGATGATAAATACGAGCTGGATAATCCCTTCCTGTGACAATCTCAAAGTCTAACAAAGGCAAAGGCAAAGGGAGGAGAGCGTGAAGGGGCTTTTGGAAGCCTAGCAGGGAATTCTCGATGAGCAGGCTTGCAGACCAGAGAGCAGCCCTTGTGGCAAGGACGTGTAGGATGGCCCAGCTTACATGCTCTCCTGCAGCGAGAGAATTGGTTGCCTGCAGATCTGTATGTTTTACTAAGCGGACCACTTTGCAAGTGTGCGGAGAGTGATGCGCATGGATTCCAGAGTGCTGAGCAGTGAGAGGATTCGAGGGTCTGGCTACCCAAGGGAGCGCCTGACCTTTCATGATGCACACTTTGAGGGTAGACTGCTCGATGAAGTGAATTGCTTGGTTGTGTTCTGCTCTGAAACCGAGATCTAGATTGAGATTCACCTCGCTTTCCCTCCTCAGGCTCCTTCCAACATGAAGTCGGTACTTCAGGCAGGATGGCTGTTGACGGTGGCTGTGGGCAACATCATTGTGCTTATCGTAGCAGGGGCAGGCCACTTCAGTGAACAGGTACAGCGTGGAGGAGGAAGTTGGGGTCCTCTGTTTATCACTACAGGTCGTAACTGTGACTCTCCCTCGCCATCTATAAATACACGGTTACTTAGGTAACAGCTGGTTAAAGTCACCAAATCAACCAGACAGGGCTGTTACCAGTAGCCTCTTAGCTAAGAGTGTACTGGTTCTTATTTCTCCCTGGTATTATACAGTTGGAAAGTGACAACCAAAATAACCAGATTGAGTTCATGGCACACTTACTAACATGGTTTACTATCAAAGAAATCATCCTTCCTAGCTTTAGTGAATACAGCTTACTACCTGAACTAGACACGCTGTCTAGAAACTTTCATAATACCTGAAATTAAAGCCCTTCTTGAAGTGGTGGCAATTTTTCTAGCTAAAATAAAAGGAGGGCTTTTCTGACGTTTAAAATCATTCCTTCTGCACTGTGGCACACAAGGTCTCCCTCTGAGGTGTCGTCAAGATGGTCATTTCATGGTCACCCTCACCAGGTCCCATTAAAGTGTGTGCTAAAGCTCATGTTCAGGAGCTCAAGGGGTCACCATGGGATCACTCAAGGGCCTTGTCTGGGTAGAATTCAGCACACTCTTTTCCCCACAGAGGTGTTCTTTTGGTTCCGTCCTTCAGGCTTCAGCCATGTGTTTTAAGACTGGAATGTTCCCAAAATTCTCTTTTATCCCCCATTCATGTTGTGTTTCTGTGTGCTGTGCTGTTAGAAAATATTACCTGTTCCTCATGCATTCAAGAAAAGCTGGCCAATCTCTCTGAACACCCTGCCCACCAATTTTCCATAACAATTTAATTTCAAAGCACCTTGCACCTAGACATAGCAAGAAAATGCACATGTAATATATACACTAATATGAACTTGTATTTTTTTTTTTCTTACTCCATCTCTGATCCCTTCAAAGTGGGCTGAGTACATTCTATTTGCTGCATTGCTTCTGGTGGTCTGTGTCATATTTGCCATCATGGCTCGGTTCTATACTTATGTGAATCCAGTGGAGGTTGAAGCTCGGTTTGATGAAGAAGAAAAGAAAAAAAATGCAGGAAAGGGTGACCTGTATCCCACACTGGAGTCGGTCTCACAGACAAAGATGTGAAGGTCAGGAAGCAGGCGGAAGATGGACCAAGCCGCCTTTGTCCCCAGAGGCAGGACACTCCATTGGTTGGCCTTGACAGGACAACTTCGGAATTGTGAACCAAACCAAACCTAAAAGGCCATTTTCTCAGGAGCGAGAAATGAGTCAAAAATTCTAGAGGAAGTCTTGTTTTGTAAGTTTTATTTAACCCCCCCCCCGTTTTAAACAGAGATATACCTTACGTTTAACTCCTCTCTTGCTACACAAATTAAATTATTTTGTACTAACAATTTTGAAAGAGTAACAGAATTCCATATTTTTTCTAAAACTCTTGTGAGAACAATGTTAAATGAGAAGCTAATGCCATGAGTGAATTTGCAGGTATATAATAAGTGCCAGCTAGTATTAACTGATAACTTTTGGTTTTTCTAATCCTACCACTTTTTAAATTATGTATAACTCAAAAAACAACTCAAATGAAGGCCAGTAATAATGTGTAAAGTTTCAATGATGTGAAATAAATTCCTATTCTTAAGAGTGAGTGTTCTTGTGTCTTTTGGTTGGTAAGAAATCTTTAACAGCTGCCTAGTTATAAAAGCACTGTGTGGACCTTGAAATTTCATCAGAAGTGATGAAAGCCTTAACAAAAGCAATGCCCACATAGGATAAATCCCAGGGACATGAAACATCAAACTCTGTTTCTTCTTGGTCCTATTTTTTCCAGGGGGGGAAAAAAATCTGTGTCTCATATCACTAGGTTCTCTCTACGTGCATATATGTGTACATCTCGCGTGTTTTTCTCAATACTGATAAGCATTTTTTTGTTTGAAATAATTCTTCCAAAACATTATAGATGCTCAATGCCTGATTTATCCAATAGATATTTATCATTTAATCATCCCAGATATCAGACCCAGAATGATTTTACTTTGACATTCCTCTGCAAACAAGGGATAGTTCTTAAACTCGTACACCGCTCTGAGGATTGAAACTGTTACCGATTTAGGAGAACAGTCGATGTTTGACCTCAAAGATGCTTCAACCCAAGCTCGTGGTTGCTCTGTGGAGGCTGTGCTGAAGCCGAGACTCTCCGTCCAGAATGGGAACAGCAAATGTGATTCATCAAAGCTTGCTTCCTGACTTAGGATCAAGTCCCGGTTCCTTAGCTAGAGCCCAAGAGGCCCTTTTTCCTCTGGACAAATTTTATTTCTCTCCACATACTCCAACCCAACCAACATTAAGCTTCTCTTCCTAGAGTGCCTCAAGTTCTCATTCCCAGGTCAAAGAAAAGGAAAATCAGACCCTGGAGCACATTGTCTTCCTGTCAGCCTTATTCCCCTCTGCCTGGCTGAGTCTTCATTTTCAGACCACTTCCTGCAAATCTTCCTGTCTCCTGTCCCTGCCATGTTAGGCAGTGTCTGCTCTGAGCTCCCACAATATTGTCAGACTTCCGTGTACTATAACTGTGTAGGTGTCCCTAAAGGGAACGTTCTGTGTATATCCCCTTCACTAATCTCCTGAACTCGGTGGGCTTTTGTTTGTTAAGAAAATGTTTTAAATATCTTGGGCTACGTGAAGCGAGATGAAAGAGGCAGGACCTGAACAAACTATTACAATTTAATCAGAGTATAATTTGCACCTAATAAACTCTAATGTAAAAAAACTAGTTATAAAGGACCATAAAGTCTAGTACTTCGATGGTTTCTAATTTACATATTGTGGCCTTTGTTGGGAAAAACCAATTGCTACAGTGATGAGATGAGCACTCAGTTTCCATCGTCTTACTTTTTTTTTTTGGTAGTACTGGACATTAAACCCAAGGCCTTCACACTGAGCTACATGCCCAGCCCAAAATTTTATATATTGAGGCAAGATCTCACTAGGTTGGCCAGGTTGGGCTCAAACTTGTAATCTTCCTGGGCCGGGGATTTAGCTCAGTGGTACCGTGCCTCCCTTGCAAGCACAAGGTCCTGAGTTGAATCCCCAATACCAAAAAAACCCCCAACAACTTGTAATCTTTCTCCCTCAGACTCCCTGAGTGCTGGGATTACAGGAATGCATCCCTACACCTGGTCCCATTCCTAATCCAAAATCCTTGAAAGAGATTCAAATCCTAACTTGTTTTCTAGTGACTCTGTAGCTTTAGGACAAGTCTTAATCTTTTAGATATCATTTCTTGTTCTGTGGAATAAAGTGAACACCAAACAATCTGAGGACTTGGAAATCCTTTGTTTGAGGGTACCCGGAACACAATGGGCTTCTGAACATTTGAATGAACCAGATCTGATATTAGCACTGTAGCATGCTCTGCTCGTGGATGGAATAATACCATGACAGTCCTCATCAGCCTTTGAAGGATATGAGCACACAGAGGGAGGCGTGGGCACTGCCTTTCAGGGGTTACTCTTTGGTCTCCTGCTTCCTGCTCTTATTTGACTGCTACTTCCAACCACAACCAAGACCACCTGATGCCAGTATCACGTGGATGTTCTGTTTGCAAGACCCCAGACAGCGGCAGTTGGCTCGGGGTAGGCATGGGGGAAGGAAGCACATGAAGCCACATCAGTAACCTCTGCTTTTCCGCCTTTTCCTGGCAGTGTATGTGTGTATTTACACCTTTCAGTTCTGTGATGATCGATGTATGATCCAAGTAGTACACTGACGTGAACATGGGCTGCATGTCCTAGTACAATTCTACAATGGGGAGGAAAAGAAAGCCCTTGAAACAGATTTTAAAGGTTTTTATTTATTTTATTTATTTATTTTTGGTACTGGGGATCAAACTCGGGACCTTTCGTTTGCGAGGCAAGCCCAGTGCCACTGAGCTAAATCCCCAGCACCAGACTTTGAAGTTTATAGCACAAATCCAGAATACTTTTGGAAATATTTGCAGTATGTCTATAAATCTTATGTCATGTCAGCTTATTTTTGTTTCCACATTTTTTTCTTTTACTTTGTGGATGTTCTTTATTTCAGGGTACTAAGAAATATTTATTTTGAAAAGAGCAAAATAAAAAAATAGATAATAGGGAGATAGATCTTTTGCATATGAAAGGGAGACCAAGAAATGGAGGGAAGGGAGGAGGAGGTGGGAAAAAGTATGTAAAAAAGAATTCAGATGTGTTATATACTGGTACCAGCTCCCGAGGAGGAATGGAGTCCCATACTGCAAATATGCACTAATAAAAGTTAAAATTAAAACAATTATTTTGAAAGCTTTTAGGCTTTATAAAATTACCTTAGTAAATGTATGTTCAAGTTTGATTTTTGTTGACTATTTTAGCTATGAATTTTGTTGTGAATTCTGGGATTTTCTTTCTGTTTTTCTCAATACTGGTGATTGAACCCAGGGCCTTCACACTAAGCTACATCCCCATCCTGCTATTATTTTTTTAAATTTTGACATATAGTCTCACTAAGTTGCCCAGCTAGTTTCAAACTTGTGATCCTCCTGCCTCAGTCTCCCCAAGTTCTGGGATTACAGATGTGCACCATGTGCCTAGTTTGTATCATTTTCTTTAGTGATGAACAATGGTGGTTAACATGCACTGACCATTGAATGTGTGCAGACAGCGCGTTCAGTGCTCTCCTGGATTAAGTCCACACATGTGCAGTCCCCGTGGTCACCAGCACTCCTGACCCATAGGAAAGAAGCGAGGCACACGGAGACCGAAAGCCGCCCCATCATCTGGCTCCGGAGCTCAGGCTGCCTCTGTCTCCCTGCCAGCATTTAATCTGCACCAGGGACTGACTCAGCTTTAGTCCTTGGAGCACAAGAAGGAAGGTATATGACCACCATTTTCAAGACAAAACTTGAGGACAGCCAGTCTGCATGACTTAGCCAAGGCCTTATACCCAGCCCTGGGGCTGAGCCAGGATTTGAACCTGAGCGTGTCGGAGCCCAGAGAAGGAGCAGCCTCTTACCCATGAGCTACAGGGTCTCTCTCACCTATCAGCCATCTGTGATGGCTGAGGCCACAAAGAGGGACCAAAAGCAAGACAAAGGGTGAGCTGGAGGGCCCCAGAGGCTGCCAAGATCCAAACCCAGCATGGCCCCCCAGTGTGCCTAGATGGAGAAGAGAGGCTGGGTGTAGAGGCTGGAACGCCTGGCTCAAAGGACAGACAGGAAAGGTGAGCCACTTTGCCATCGTGGTAGAGGGAACTGAAGCTCCCATGAGGACGTGTCGCCCTCTGAAGACACTAACTCCCTCCCCATGGGTCTGATTGTTGGCTGCCCCATGGGCAAAAGCAGTCACAGAAGGTGACTCCAACAATGCCAAGGGACTAGATCTGGGTCACCATGCAGAGGCAGTGTCACCTGGTGGGGCGGTGGCTGGGAGCAAGGGTGGGTGAGACACAGGAGGAGACAGTCAGGGCTGGAGAGTAAAGGAAGGCAGCCAAGTCCCAGGGCCTACAGCACAGGACAGGAGAAAATGTGCAGGCTCTTTATTTTCTAAATTGTGATTAAATATTCACAAGAGAGAAAAGGGTCATTTTTAAGTGCACAGCTCAGAAGCATTAACTACATTCACATTGCCATGTGCCTATCACCAGCTCCAGGACTCTCTGTTTGCAGGACTGAAACCATGAGTGGGAGAAACAAAAGCAATTCTCCTGCACTTGCCCTTCCCATGATGCTACATGCTGGGCTCTCTAGAATGTTCTGTGTCCGGGCTTCTGTCTCAGCCCTAGTCTGAGAAAACAAACAGGGGGAAGACCTGGGCCTCCCAGGCTCCAGCAGGGCTACCACCACTATCACCCCTTGCAGCAGGAAGAGAAAAGCTTCTGCATCTTGCCAACCTCTGGGGCTCACCCATGGGCTTCCCTTTGATGTCATGTCTGACACGTTCTAATAATGAGACTCCTCAACCATTTAAAGGCCCAAAAGGAAAGGAACTGAGTCTGGTAGGTTGCTATTCTGGATCTGTGGAGCCAAGAGTCACACACTTCTTAGTGCTGAATGTTCTGGAGCCTGAAGGGGGTCCTCAGAGAACAGGTCTACTACATGATGGGCCTGCGTGCTGGGGACTGGCTTGCTAGTGCTGGGTCATCTGGTCCCTTGACAGTTCCCATTTCATAGGTTGCTCCTAAAAACTTCCAGTCCCCAGCAGAGGAGGCTTCCAGGCTGCCGTAGCACCGCTCGCAATGCAGAGGAGGCTTCCGGGCCAGCATAGCACTGCTCCCAGCACAGAGGAGGCTTCTGAGGTGCTGTACCACTGCTCC